TGGTTAATAATGAAAAGATTTGGAAAACACCTCAAAGAGGGTAAATTCTTTTGTATCAGGCTGTTAAATTATATTTTGCAGGACAACAAACACCTGAGTTGTTCCTTGAAAGATTTGGGAAACATTGCAAGAGGGTTAATACTTTTACATCAGAGTAGAAAAACACAAACTTACAGCAGCCTTAATTCAGCAAGAATGTTCTAGGAGTGGTTAACAGGCGACCCTGGACAGGGTATGACACAAGTGGCATGTAGTCATTGAGATCCTCTGGTTTCACCAAGAGACACTCGGCAGGACTTTTCTTCACAAGATGGTAACTCCTCAAATGCTCCACATAGTAAGTCGAATAAGGTTCAACGAAGAAACAAACATGACGAGGCTGCACAATGCATATTTCCAAAATCCTTGCGAAGTTCGGTAGTCCACTTGTACTTCCAACAGAAAGTATCATTCCCTTTGAATACTGTGTTCCGTTTAAGAAGACATTAGGGGTCAGTCCAACTGTGTCAATATCATTGAATCTATTCAAGATTGCTAATCTAAGACCACCATCTAAGACTCCCAGGCACACATCAGTCACTTTTGCTGTCTCAATCTCAGGCTTGAAAATGCTGGGCATTTCAAAATAATATGCCAGCATAAGTTGGTGTCTTGAGGCAAGGGTAAGCAGAATGTTTTTAAAGTTATTGGCATCATGCACTACCTTCTTAAAGAAAGAATGCTTAGCCTCAAACCTGATTGTCCAACACTCTATTAAGGGTCCAAATCTTTGAATAAGGCAAGGATAATGTTCAATAAAGTGATGTTTGGGGCGCAATTTGTAATCCGGGAAAACTGTCAGTAGTAACTGTCTATGATCCGATATTTTGGACTGCAAATAACACAGTGAGTCTTCAGTGTGATATGGAGTTGCTAAGAGCTCAACCAAGTCTTTCAACTCAAGGATTACTTCCCATGTTGGATCCCCTTCTGGAACACGGTGGCCGATGATGAGGGAAAGGAAACGCACAAGACTCCAATTTTCGTGGCCGTTTCCACCTACAGTTCCACTCTTTTGAAAAGTTGAAGGAATTTTCTGAGGACAATTTTTCTTATCCGAGAATTTAAAAGGGAAGCTCTGTATTTCACTATTAAGTTCTTCTAATGTGAAATACTTCTTTGAAATCAAATCTGCAAGGCACAGACTTAGTTCTACAGGCACAATCCCTTCCAGAACATCGTGCAAAAAATCAGGTGGAAAGCCTTTGCATGCATGAAAACCTGTCAGGCTGTTGAGAGGGCAGTCTCGTTTCACACCATCAACAGATGCAAGGTCCCTCTGCTTCAAGACATTTACAGCTTCATCAAATGATTCTGGTGACCTTAAAACAAAGTTCCCAGTTCTAACATCACACGTTTGTATGTCTTGACGATTGGCTAGACAAAACCTACAAAACTTTTCTACATTAAAAGACTCTTGGAATCCACCTAAGGAATGTGCTGCCAAGTTGTCAGCAGCAACGAACAAGATGGTGCCTTTAACATTACACCCTAGTTTCTCTACAAACACACCTACTGTTTCAAGAGATTTAATATCTTCAATCAGAGGATTCAAAACACGATCATAACCATAAATCCTGACATGCTCTGCCTTGCACAGTAAAGCTAGGTAGATTGAGGACAATGCTGAGTTGTATCTAGATGGTAAATTGCCAATAACCCAATACACACCACAGACCTTATGTTTTTTTTTTGATGTGCCCAAGGGATTGCAGATTTCAAAGTCATCAATATACAAAGTAATAGCAACACTTAGTTCTTGACCTGAGAGTATTCCGTTCGATTTATACAAGTCACCATCCAGAAAAGACTTGTAGATGCCAGACTGTTCAACAGGTTTGTTTTTCCCCAGTGCTTGCAGTACCTCTTCTTTTTTAAGAAGATCTGAAAGTAACTTTAGAATAGGAATATAGACAACAGTATGCAACTTTTCTTGTCTGTTCAAAAGATATTCGACAGGTTCAATGACACAAAAGTTCTTTTTAAAAAATAACTGTCTTTTGTAGTCTGTGCCTAAAGATCCTTCTCTTGAAAGGAAATTAAGTGGGTTAGCACTTTGAAATAGTTCAGTCAAGGATGTCAAACATTCCTCAGATGTGCAATTATGCTTCCCCAAAACATTCTCAATTGACTCCCTGGTTATTTGTCCAGCACATTTTCCAATATCAAACAAATCATCCACAATTTCTTGAATCGCAGACTTTGACACATGAAGGACGGCTTGCAGTCGAAGGAAAAGGGATGCAAATCTGCGCTCAACTGACTTCTGTGTAGGCTGAGAGTCAGGTTCAGTCACTGAAACATCTGGTGACTCTAAATCAAAGTTATCCTGTTCGTCATTGACAGAAGCTTGACTTTGACAATGAATAATAAGTTCAGGTTTGAAATTATTGAATGTAGAAGACTGATGATATCGGCTTCTGTGAGCAGTAAAGGTCGAGGCTACTCTAGATGTAAAACAGCACCCCACAAATGGGCAATTCACAGTCTCTCTTTTTATCAAATGTCTCTTTAAATGAAGAAAATAATGTTTGATATTGCTTGGCGCTGAAAAAGTACAAAGTTCACAACGAAGTTTAACAACAGGACTGGTTCCTTGTTTGTGTTCCGTCAAATGTTTTAAAAGTTCCACATGGGATTGAAAGACGGTAAGACAATTTGGGTAAATACAACTAAAACCTGTTCTTCCACGTCCATGCTTTTCCTTGTAATGATTCACTATAGTCTTTTGAATGTACGAGGCAAAATTGCAAAACTTACAAGTCCACTTCATCAAATGAGTAGCTGAGCCTGTGAATTCATAAAACACCTGAAACACACAAAACAGAAGAAAAGTTTTAGCTGCTAAGTGATGTGAATTGCAAAAATGAACAATAGCACATTTCTAGTCAAGTCTAACAAATTGGATGTATGAATTGTTGCATTGCTCTTTACCACTAGCTAGCACAAACAATGTTCTGTAATAAGAAACAATAATGAGCTTGCAGCAAACGAGCGGCTGCTAATAATCTAAAATTATTTTGCAGCACTGGCCATGAACATACACAACCATTCAAAGGTTTGGGGTCAGTAAATTTTTTTAGGTTTTTAAAAGAATTATCTTCTGCTCACCAAAGGCTGCATTTATTTGATTAAAAATACAAACAAAACAGTAATACTGTGAAATATTATTCCAATTTAAAACAGCTGTTTTCTATTTCAATATATTTTAAACAGTAATTTATTCCTGTGATCAGAGCTGAATTTTGTGCATCATTAGTCTTCAGTGTCACATGGCGGTTTGACAAAATTAAGATCACGTTTTTTGTTGTTTTTTTCTCTCAAAATGAAGCCAGTTTTCCAGTTTATGACTTTTTTCCATGCATAATCTGGTTTTCAAAGGATTTTCAAGGGAATTACTGCAATAAATTGTCTTATTTTACATTCATTATTTAATATTGTAGGCTAGAATAGAATAGCACCCAGTACAACCTAATCGTATAACCAAGCAAGAACGTTAATACAACGTTTATATTGAACGTTATAATAACCAAGCAATATAGTTAATACAATGTTTTAAAAAATGGACGTTTTGAATATTCTTAGAACATTCAGAAAAAACGTTTTAATAACTTAATGGGAACGTTACGAACCCTAAAATTGTTATCTGGGGAAGAGGAGAGATTCGCGATTGCACTGAACACGTTTTAAGTGCAGGATTCTTTAAGCGAGCCCAGAGAAAACTGACATTCTAACCAGAGCAGCGTGTATCTGAGAGCATGGGCGCGATATTCCACGTGCAAGCAGACAGATTCGCGCATTATATTAATTTACTTTCGCGCTAAAATAGTGCTCTCTCGACATTTAACAGGAAAATAACGCCATAGTTCTGCAGCATCCCCCTTACCTGTAACGTAACACCGTAGACAGTTACCAGAGCACAGATTTTTGATTTACCCCCTCCTCACCGTCGCTGCTCAGAAATGCAACATTGATAAAGGGTCCTTCTGAAATAGTGTCGCGCAGGGCAACGTAGGTTCCGAAAGTTGTGTAAATAAATACATCGGTATGGCGGTTTATTAAAAAATGAATATCATAAAAATATACACCGGCTTTCAGTATGAACCGGTATACCACCCAGCACTAACCTCCTTCAGAAATCAGTATAATATGACGATTTGATGCTCAAGAAATATTCTTTTATTATTATCAAAGTTGTTCTAAAAATCTAAAAGATAGGTTCTGAAATCTAAAGCTTGTTTGACCACAGGAACAAATTTTAAAATGTATTTAAATTGAAAATAGCGGTAAATTGGAATAATATTTCACAATATCACTGTTTGTGTTGGTATTTTTAATCAAATATATGCGGCCTTGGTGAGCAGATGCTTCTTTTAAAAACTAACTGACCCCAAACTTTTGAACGGTAGCTAATGTTTGTGTGTTTGGCCTTGACATACGTTAACTTATATCAGAAATGGCAAATGACATCGCAGTTTTTACATATTAAAAGGTATCTAATGTTATTGGCTTCATCAACACATATTCTTAATAAATAAAAAACACGAACACTTACCAATAATGCACTTGTTCACTCCAACCGATTCGTCGTCTTGTCTGACAGAAATGAGGAACCTGGTGGTTGTTGAAGTTTGATTGCTCGGCGCGTAAAGTTCGTCTCGTGGCTTCGTCGGTAGTCCCTTCCCCCACCCCCACACATGCGCAAAGACTTGTACCCCACTCAAATTAAAATGATAAGTTCATTCAGGCACCTGGAATTTGTGATTCATTGAAGTAACTTATGAAACTAAATTGGAAGATTGAAAACTCAAACAACTGAGTTGAAATTTCATGACACATTATTTTATGTCTGATTGAATGACATATATAAGTTATCATAACTTTTTCATCAGATCATTTTTTACAGTGATTGTTACCTTTTTTACTTGCAGACTCACCATACCTATTTTTGTTAATTGCAGAAGGCTGACTTTGACAGAATGTCTAAACAATTCCTAAAGGAATTTTCTCACTACAAAGAGCTTTGCAATTACTTCCAGAGGTACTGGGAACCAATAAGTCATAGATGGGCTGACTATGGACGTTGTTATAACCATGGGAATTCAGAGACCAACAATTTAATAGAAAGGTAAAATAAGGAATTTAAATTGTTATTAAAGACTGTAAAGCAGAAATCATTCACTGTCATTCCACATATAATTATGAACTTGTTTTGGGACTATAAATTGTTTTTCTTTTATTCAGGTTCTTCCATCGACTGAAATACCAATTCTTATCTGGGATAAGAAATCGGCGTTTGGATGACTTGCTTGACGTCCTTCTTTGCAAGACGGAGACTTACTTTCAGGTGATAAAACACTTGCAATCAGCAGGAAGAATGGCAAACTGTGTTGCCATGAAGTTGGAGGAAACATTAAGCAAAGCAACTAGAATGATGGAAAAAGGCTGGATTGACCACATTACAAGCGAATCATCGGAAATATATGTCTATAATGTGCCATCCGAACAAGACTCCTCACTTTCCTACAGAACCTGCCCAGCGGAGTGTTTCTGCAGTTGCCCTGTGGGTTTGAAAGGTGAAGTATGCAAACATTTGGTTTTGCTTGATATACTCAAAGAAAAGGATGATGCATTTCCTGAATTTGCTCTTCAGCTGGAAGCTCATGCAAGAGCTTTACAAAACAATGGTCACTTCAGTATCTGTTCTGAGGTGAAGATGGAAATCGACGTCGAAAGTCTTTGTGGGAGAGGAACATATCATACAGATTTGGAAACCTATTCTTGTTCCTGTTGCACATTCTCATATCATTGCATATGTCCCTGCCTTATTTTAGCACAACAGTTGTTTGGCATGACCATTAATGAAAAATTGTGCTGTTCTGTGAATCAATCTGACAATGCTGATGTGTACTTTGAGAAACAAGACACAACAAGTTTAGACTTCCGGAGACTAGAAGATGTTCTTGCAATTATCAAAAGATGGCAGACTGTTCCAGAGAACATCAAAAGCCAAATAAATGATCTCTATGTTAATGTGCAACAAGAAGACAGAAGTCTTTTGTCAAAAAGGCATTGTACCAATGACACTTCAAGGAAGATACAGCCACTCTTCCCATGCAATGCAAAAAAAAGAAAAAAGACTTCCAAGGTTTCAAGAAAACCTGCATTTCTGACACAAAATTCAGAAGGGTTTAAAAGAAGAAAGAGGCAACCCAAAAAAAAGTAAAAAAAAAAACAAAAAAAAAAAAAAACATGAATATAGAATTGGGTGCAGAATACCTTGTATGAAATTTTGGTATCAAATGAAGAGCTGCTTTTAGTGTGGCCAAATGTTTTGTGTTGCTGTTAATTTCTAAACAATACTATTTTCGTAAGAATCTGCAGACCTGTTTTCAATGTGATGTATTTTTTGTACTAAAAAGTAATTCCGTCAATGTAAATTTGATATTTTAGATCTATAATTAATTATTACAGTTACAATACCATTGCAATGGGGCTAGATGACATGTGGTATGTTTCTGTTTGTGTTTATAAGGAATTATACGTCATTCATCCAATAAAACATTTTTATTTATTCCACATACTAAAGATGTACGTTTATGTATTTTACACTGAGCATTTTGATAAAACAAAATTTTAATATAACACAAATATAAGGGTATTTTGGATAAATAAAAGACCGCTACTGATTCGATTCATTGGGAAAGTTTATGAATCTGTATAAACAAAACATCAAACATAAAAGGTTATTCTCAGATTTAGCAACCTTAACATTTTACAAACAGTTTGGTGCTGCATTTGAGATTGATTCGTTCTCCTTTTATTTTAGACTCTCTGAAATGAAACCTAACACTCCATCCACTGCCTGCGGACCAAATGTGTGGGTTAACAAACTGAAGGCTGATCTAGAATCCAGGCTTGATTGCAAGTTGGCACGTACACTAGCCAGAGTTGTCCTTTAACGAAAAGAAAAAGATGAAACCGTTAATTAAATTACATCAAATATCAGCAACGTACGTAGCTCTGCATTTAGAAAATGTACTGTACCTGGTCACTTCTGCATTGTGGTCACTTATGTCTTTACGTACCAACTTTGGACTGACATTTTGACACAGGCTTTTAGTTAAACCTGTGGCAAGATCTGAAGCCTCTCCCTCTGTTAGTGCACTAAAAATGCTTGTCTTAGTCTTCTTTTTCTTGGGAAGATTGAGGACTAATTCAGGCAGATTTTGTTTGCGCCCCTTAAGAAAAATGAACAGTAGTGCATTAGAACTAAAATAAAACTAAAAGAGAGATTAAAACAAATATAAAATACAACTGATAACTAATATAATCGACCGTATCAATTTAAAAATCAACTTACTCCTAGCAGATCTCTGAAAACATTAGAGGACATATTCTCCCCTTCTATTCTGCGCTGAATTTCTTCCTTTGTGACAACATACGGGGACTTTCTCTGACCAGTGAGGACTAAGCGTCCAAAAACTTTGATGCCTTTAATGTCGTCTGTGGGGTTATTCAAATGACAATCCCCGCTGTCTCTTGCCTCTATTTCCTCATTTTCAAAACCTGCATCCTTGTCAGTTTCAAAGGTTTCTGGCTGTCTTTCTTCCTTGCGGTCTTGCTTTTTTTCCCTATCTGATGCATCACTGGCCTTTATTTTTTTACCCTTTGATTGTTTTTTTTTTTACTTCCACTTTTTCTGTTTTGTGAGTTTCCCTTTTCTCTTCTTCCTCTTGTTTCTTCTCATCCTCTGAAGGTCTTCTTGTGCTTTCCTCTGTCTGCTTACTTTCTCCTTTTTGTAGATGTTCGAACATAGTGTTTCCTTCACCTGCTATTTGAAGCGTCATAATAAACAGCAATGGCATTCTAATCTCAGGACGAATAATCATTACATCTAAAACATTAAACATTAAAATGGGTGTTCAACTACACTTGTACTGGGATACAACATCCTCTATACATCTACAATTTGTGGACTCTACCAACAGTTCTTAAAGGACAACTCCGGCGCAAAATGAACCTTTGGTCTAATTACACATTGCTACCTAGTCAACCGTTATCTGAGATTTGTTTTCATAATTGCCGAATGTAAATAGTTTTATCTCTAAAAACAGTTTAGCCTATAACGCTAGTATAACGCTAGTATATGGGACATAGAGTAATGACAATAAAAATCGCTTGGTATTACCACTAACAAGGCTCAAAATAGCCCCACACAAACACGACAGCATAATAAGGGTCCCTACATTCAACCGAAGCATTGAGAACTTTGTCAGTGTCCATACAGTTTAATAAGAAGATATTTTATACACACAGTCAACTTCGTGAATACAGGAAGAAGCCATCTTTAAAAAATAGTCTCTACCAGTCGATCTACGAACACCGATCCAAGTGCGCTGAACTGAGCAGAATCTCATATGGTCCGTTGTTTCCGGAAGACACACAAACACGAACCGTTTTCTTCTCTTCAATATGTACATGTAGACTACTGTTCGCGCTCACCTTATCACCTTATTCACATCTTACCAGCGCACATCGGTGTTCGTAGATTGACTGGTAGAGACTATTTTTCAAAGATGGCTTCTTCCTGTATTCGTGAAGTTGACTGTATGTATAAAAATATCTTCTTATTAAACTGTATGGACACTGACAAAGTTCTCAATGCTTCGGTTTGAATGTAGGGACCCTTGTTATGCTGTCGTGTTTGTGTGGGGCTATTTTGAGTCTTGTTATTGGTAATAACAAGCGATTTTTATTTGTCATTTCTCTATGCCCATATATACTAGCATTATACTAGCGTTATAGGCTAAACTGTTTTTAGAGATAAAACTATTTACATTCGGCAATCATGAAAACAAATCTCAGATAACGGTTGACTAGGTAACAATGTGTAATTAGACCAAAGGTTCATTTAGCGCCGGAGTTGTCCTTTAAGTCATACATTATAAGGAACAGACCAAAACAAAACTGATTATTAACTAATAATAACTCTTACCTCTGCAAAACATATTTCCAGAAACAAATTGCACAGCACTGGATAACACGCATATAAACATACCCTTATTCAAACGGCCCCTTAAATTTTACAAATATCCTTAAATCTGCTTTGAAATATAGTATGCAACATTAGATACTCGTTTTGATTTTTGTGGAGTTTCACTGCAGTTTGCACAACTTGCTCTTTTAGCCTGGATTTTATATAGCGTGTTGAATAGCTGTTTGTTCTTGTAATTGAAATTACTTACAAATTACACAGATGCCACATGGTGTTCGTTGACATCTCAAATGGCTGTGTGCACCACATTCCTGACAGCACACCTAAAATTGAAACAATGCTTGATTCTTTGCAATTAATTACAGTATTAAACAGATTCTTCTATGTACCTTATCTTTCATCAGGACACTCCAGCACACTGTGCACTTTACTCCTCTATCTGCAGGGGAAAAAAATCATATATTAAAGTTTGTATCAGTCATTTCAGGCCCAAAATGGGCCGAAACATAAATTATCAAATTCATCTAATCTTTCCTAACGATCCGCTAGCTGCCCGCCCCATAAGCAAGCCGTCCAAAAACTGCATCTCTGTATGCAGCCTAGGCTCTGAAATGAGCACACAAAACAAATGGGTACACCACCAAGTCATGACAGGGGCGGGTGTTGCTCTGACTTCACATCCAGCCGTGAATGAGCTCAAAACCTCACAACACCCGCCTCTGTCAGTGATTGGTTGAAACACTGTTTGTTTTGGTTTTGAGTGGTGGTTGTACCCATTTGTTTTGTGTGCAGATCTCAGAGCCTAGGCTGCATACATTAGACACGCTTTTTGGACGGCATGCTTGTGGAGCAGGCAGCAAGCGGATCGTTAGAGGAAAGATTAGGTGAATGTGATCATTTATGTTTCTGCCTTTTTTAGGCCTGAAATGACTTATACAACCTTTAATAATCAAAGGAGTAGTTCTGTCTTGGCCATGAGAAGAATTTTTTTTTTTCTTCTAGAGCTACAAAATTATTTCAGCCAAAATTATGTTCCTCTTTTAATGTAAAGCTGCTTTGACACAATCTGCATTGTAAAAAGTGTTATATAAATATACGTAGGTGACTTGATCTTATATCTCATGGTCATGACCAAACTAATCGAACTGATCATGTCCCCCCAAATTTGTAATTTGTGTTTTGCTTTAGTTTTTATGAAAGTGAGCACCTAAAGAGGAAAACAGAATGTTGCAGAACTGTGCCCTCAGCTGGGGTATATCCACTGAGGCATATCCATCCACGGAAACCTTTTCCCTCAAGCAGGGCCTGAGCAAACTAAAATATAAATTAAGTTGTGGGCATTGTAAATACTTTATCAGAATGCATAAAAATAAGAGTACATCGACAGATTTGAGAAAATTAGAAAAAAATTACCATTAGCACATGGACCCCACAAGAATGTCCATCCTCTTGTCGTGGGTGGGGCACATCATGCCATGTCCATTTCAGGGCACATCCTTTAGCTTTGGCAAAAGAACTGAAAAAAATAAAGCTTAATTATTTGGTCTTTGGGTAACACTTTATAACAACTGCACGCTATTAATCATTTGTTAAGCATGAGTAAACAGTTAATTCATCATTTATAAAGCATTAATAGACATTTATACGCAGGTTACAAATACAGCTATAAATGTTTTTTTTTCTTGATTTATAAGCATATCTATAATGCGTTTAATGCTTGTATTTTCATACTTTGTTAATGATCAATTAATCATTTCTAAATCATGTATAGCTTTATTTACAAACCAGTTATTTAAGAGTTGTCAGTCATTCATAAGATCACTTAGAAAGTGTAAGTAAATGTAGTAAATACAGGCTTTGTAAAGCATTTTATAAAGGAGATTTAAAGGCGAATCAATCTTCTAAACAGTAAAATGTAACAAACACAACACAGTGATACAGAACATATTTAACAGCCTTTAAATCTTCTTTATAAATGCTTTACAAGGCAAGAATAGTCCTCACTTTAGATGAGCTCACAAACATAGTTAACTGACCACTACTAAATGCTTTATAACTACCCGAATTAACCCTGAATTACAGCATAAATACATGTTAATAAAGCATTTATTAACACACCAACCAAGTAACCATTACCATATGTCT